CTGAAGAGAATTCTCCATAAGTAAAGTCAACAATCATGACATTTTCGAAAGCGGAATTCACATCTGTGGTGGACACTGTGTGCGTTTGTTGTTTACAAAGTTGTTGCTAAAATTAACGAGACGGCATTCTTCATGCATGTATGTGAACCCTCCACGTGTCCTCAAACCCCTTGCACAGTGACCTTGACCTCCTTGAAGTCTTTGGACAGGCACTCCCACATAATGGCTGATCCTCCACTAAAAGGAAGTGGAGGACGAATGTAGAACGAATTCTTTGTCACCAAATCCAAATATGACAGACCTATCTGACACGCATCAGAACTCAGGTCTCATCTGACAATTAAGTGGGTGTTTCTCAGTGTCCTCCAGTTCCAGCCACACCTTCCTCAACAGCATTCCAAACGTCCCCTTCAACGACGATCATGCTGCATTGAACCAATTAACTTCCTTGGCCACAGACGTGCTGAGTCCATTTCATAAGGTCCGTGATGGTCCGATTGGGCTTCTGGTTCTCCTAATTCAGTCAGGTGCTGTCGCCTTATAAGTGGAGCATGCTTTCGAGTGGTTCTTTGTTTATGAAACACGTGGTTTTTTTGCCAACATCGCCTGCAAACATTCACATTTTAACTATGCATAACCACATAGCACGAAAAAGGATTAAAAAAGTTGAAATAACAAGAAATTTCTGCTTAAAAGACTAATTTATGCTACCTAAGTGGCAGGTATCACAGGCTTTCGTTCATAACTGTTCGTGTCTTTATTAAAAATATTTTACCAATCACATCCGCGGTGGCTATTTGTACCATGCATATTGCATGGTTAAAATGACATTGAAATATTTTATGGCCCAAATACTCATTCAACATCTCAAGTTGATGTGATTAAAAGAAATTTCCCAAATAGTCGATGCATATGCAATATATCATATCTAACCATTGTATTTGAAAAGAAAATAATACCATATTTTAAATATCACCCTCGATTATTGGATGTATATCTCCACTATAATATTATAGCCAAGCACCGCTGTGACGATGAAAAGGGGACCTAAAAAAAGTGAATGCTTCGAGTTATCCTGGGTTCGACACAGCCGCAAAATAATGACTATGTGAATGAATAGGCAGGGGCAAAACTGCTACTTAGAGATAATGTCCAAGGTATGAAAGTTCGGCACAACGCTGTTTGACTGTATATGTGAGTGAGTTTAGTTTTACGTCGTTTTAGCAATATTCCAGCAATATCAGGGAGGGGAACACCAGACATTGGCTTCACACATTGTACCCATGTCGGGGATCGAACCCGGGTCTTCGGCGAGATGAACAAACGCCTTAACCACTTGGCTACCTCACCGCCCTTTGACTGTATAAAGTGAATAGAGATATACTGGATAATAAAGGGCGTATAAGTATCTGCTAACTGATCAGTCTCTATAACGCATATCACTGGCCCATCCACTGTATACTGGTTGACAGGCTCGAGAGTTCCCACGTCGTCTACACAGAACCATGTCTTGAAACGGCAGGTCTGAAATGACTTTTTGTCAAGATCCTTTTCCCATGATTATATCGCGTGTTTGTTTGCTATACACATGTGCAAATAAACAATCCGTGGTTTACAGCAATGGCAATTCTTGTGTTGCGCTGTTTCCTCGTGCATTTTACTGTTATATATAGACAGGCTGATATCGTCCCTCACGAACTGCATGTATGGGTTTTGTGACAAAGATTCATTTGACCAGGGTGTAAGATCGAATATTTGATATTCAATCCGTGGCTGATATATTGATATTTAACAAGGAATATCGTGCATTCCTCGAAAACAACCAATGGCATATCCACAACAGAAGTGAAATTAAAACCAGTATATAGTTACAGTAAACAGAAATAATATTCACTTTTTGAGAGGGTAAAAGCGTGTATTATCTTAGTTCTGTTTTAGAGAAAATATTTCAGGTATATTAAGCAGTGTTTGAAATAAGGCCCGTCCGACCGCCCGAGACGAACTAGATTTCTGACGGACGGTCTAGATTTCCAGCTAGCCAGCCCGATCTGGTCTGGTAAATCTTTTTTTTAGATGTTCCATACATCTGAGTAAATTCACCATATTTGGTCTGGTTAAATCCATTTTGGGCTGGTCACACTTTGAAGGTACCAGCCCTGATGTCTGGCTGGATTTTTGGCTTATTTCATACACTGTATTAAGGTTGAGCTGTGACCAGCATGTATAACAGTTAAAACTTTAGACGACAACAAATACGATAGTCCCTGAACCATATTATTTTCTGTTCCTCTCGACCCTTGCTGTGATGTTAAAGAATGAAATGAAGTCAGAGCTACAGATAACTTTTTGAGTCATTGAGTTATGTACTCGCTTGTGTTCATCTCAATTGGGTATCCTAATTTTCCTTGGAGTAACCAAATAAATTGTACTCACCTCACTCAAACTCATTTGGGTATTTTGCCATTTTCCATTAATAGTAAATATATAATAAAGTTTAAATGTTGGTTTACGTGTTGGTTAGTAATATTTGATCTGTAATTTGAGAAACTATAAGAAAGACTGCAAGTTGCCACGTTCATGTGCTGAAATAGAACCTCTCAATATACCTCAGTTATTTTATCTATCCTCAGTAACATCCGAGCTAAGATTTGACAGTCTTGTGTGTACGCATGTAAGATCAAATTTATTGAGCATTTACAAATATTCAAGCGTACTTGTACGCAACAGTCATAATAGCAATGGATTTTAATATGTGCGTAATTTACGCAGATACGCAGCTTATCTGTACCTCTGTAATGAAGCACGTCTAGATTTTCAAGAGGTCCCTTCACACGGAACTATGGAATACTTCTTTGAGTGGCATTTTAGAAGTTGGGAAGTACAATATTGAACAAACTTTATGGATAACAACTTCTTCTATTTCGTGAATAAAATAAAAGAAGTTATCCACAAAAATTGTTCAATATTGTACTTCTCAACTTCTAAAATGCAACTTAGTACTCAAGAAATGAAAGAAGTTGTTATCTATAAAGTTTGTTCAATATGGAACCATGGATTGCCTTTTCAGTTTACATGAGGTAGCGTGTTTCTGTGAAAAGTATATATAGATTTAGAGATTAAGCGTTAGGCTAAGCATTCAGCAGAAAGTCATATCTCGACTTTATCAACAGTAAAGTCAATTTAAAATCTCGACATACAGTGACATACAGTTGTTTGAAGACCCGTGAAGATACGGGATAGAATTGTTTTTCAGCAACCCATGCTTGTCGTAAGAGGCGGAGAAACTGGATCGGGTGGTCCGGCTTGCTGTCTTGGTTGATGCATGACAACGTCTCCGAACTGCGTAGATCAATGCTCATTGTGTCAATCACTGGATTTCTTGGTCCAGGCTCGAGTGCAGTGCATGTACATATGTATGTTGTGCTTTCGTGCGTGTGTGTGTGCGCGCGTGTGTGTGTGTGTTGTGTATTTAAGGTATGTTGTTGTTAAGTGTGCCTGTCTGTGTCCTTGTGTTTGAGTATGTGTGTGTCTCTGTGTGTCTGTTTGTTAACCATGCATTTGGGGCTTAGATGTAATTACAACAAGGCTTCGTGACACGCCAACAGGTAGGACTTCACTGGATTTCAGTCACTGGTCTTCCTGACATTGGAATCATTTAAAGTTGGGTATCGACATTAATTGTGTTCAATGTCACATAATCAAACGCCAGTTCTAAGATACACATACTATCCAAAAGTTGTAACATTTTCCATAAAAACTGGTAGTTGATCCAAACATGGCTTATTTTAATGTCACTTCAGTACAGTAAATTCAAATCAAATAAAACTGTAAGGTCTCACAGTCCCTGTACAGCATTGTTTCCCCCTCAGCCTCGCCCTCCCTGCAAGTCTAGATTCCTCAGGTGAGTGAGTTCCCATCTCACTGGGGCTCCTTTTCAACTTAAAAGGAATTACTTGTTTCTATCCGGCAGGGCTCCAGATAAGGGCCGTATGGGCGTATGTACGGATAAAATATATGCACGATACGGTAGGAAATAATTTAGAAAACGTAGCAGATACGCACCACAGCAATGGTGTACGGTCTTAGAATCATTTACAGACTGAACTTGTTTGTTTTATTGTTTTTCCTACCTGTTTACACAAGAGTAGCAATGTTGTGGTGCATATATGAAATGAAACAGAAGCTTACTGATACTCCATTTAATTCCATTCTGTAATCGAAATGTACACTTTAAGTTTTTCCAGTACTCCTATATTGAAAAAATAAGGAGTACGTACTCCTGATGTTGAAAAATTATCTGGAGCCCTGTATCCAAATTATATATCTATATATATTCCGAGACATGGTGTTAGTCTACAATAAGGTTGCTCAAAGCTTTGATTATGATTTGAATGTATTCTTTTTCAGAAGCTTGGCACACTTAGAAAATAAATTTGTGGTTTGTTTAAGATAAAACCGCTTAGCAGATTTACTACCGATTATAGCCTGTTCTTGTGTGACTTACTTAAGCCCTCCTCGTTGCCCTTCAGCCTGTCAACTTTGACCGAGTGCTTCACATGTCAAAACTTTGTAAGAGTTATTTCCCTTAGTTCGTCTGCTCCGGTCATTTTGAAGATTTCCGAATGTTTTAGTTTTAACTTGAGTGTATTGTCAGATGTTGTGTAGGTCTGATTGACTGGCTTTTTTGTAGTTGTAAGGGTAGCGTTGACATAATAAAAACGTCGTTAGAAAAATATCTGTAGACATATGTGTCCATAACATTAGTTCCCTGTGAAATATGGTCACTTCTGAACGTGGATAATATGATAATACAATTGTAATACTTAGTCATATATTTTCTAGGATAAACAGTCTACATAATTATCATATGTTATTGCATTTTAGCATTGGACTGGCATTTTGGATGTCCTTGTAACAACCAAATCTTGATACGAGAAATAAAAGACCGGATAATATATTCCGCTTCACCGAGGACTGTCGCGCGAATGTGTAAACAGCAACGATAGTGAAACTAACACGCTAGCCTTTCAGATGTAAATGTTATCGGAGAACACTATTGCCTGTGGCCTAAGCAAGGCTGTTAGCAGGGTGGCAACAGAAGCGAGCCATAGCTTTTTGGAATAGAATGCTTTGGATCTAAGTTTACTGTTTGGAAAAAATAGCAATCATGCCGAAACTTGGGCGCCGGGTAAGTTATTTGTCAAAAGTCATCTGTTCATATTTCGAAAATTGACAGTTTATGATTCTATTTAATAATCACTCTCTAGCGAAAGGATCAAGGGGATTTCCTAAGTGCCTGTTTCTTGATCGTTTCATAACGGTACTTTGTAAGAGGGATTTTGTATATCGAACCGATTTCTTTTGAAGAAAGGCGCCCAGATTTGTCGACAATATCTCATTTCTTTTACATTGAACACGTATTTAGATGAAAGATAATTCTTAATTTTCTAGATGTAAGATAGACTAAATGGCACAAGCAGAATTCATCACCTCGTTTCATACAACCCATTTGTTATTTAACTTTTCTTTGAATACTTAGCCATTGTTTTTCTACATGTTCTTTAATGTGGCATTGTTTTCTTCAGAACAGCGTTTTCGTTCTAACAGTTGAATCTTACAAAAGGGATCTTTACCTGACAACAAAAAGCAATCAGATATAATCATTAAGGCATTGTGTTTGACAACAATGAGTTAACTTCGTTTCCGGACTGTTTAAGATGCGCTTTGAAAGGGTTATATCTTTGTAATTACATTTTTGTTAATTATGATAATAATGTTAAATTCTGGACTTTTTTACTGTGACTAGTATTGACATTCCCATTGATAAAATTGGGTCTGCTATATAATCATACATATTGCCAATATAATCATGTTGTCTTTCAAGGAAACAATTACATCACTTTTAACTTAATAATATCAATTGTATTGTTAGTATTTTTTTTAAAGTTACTGTGATGAGAGGTTTTAAAGGTGGATGTTATCTTACAAAAGCAGTGTAGATACAAGGACTCTGGAAGCCCTTTAATTTCAGACACAGAGTAAGCTTTGTGTCGTTAAAGGGTGAATGTTGTTTAGCAGGAGCATGAGAGACTTTCATCATGTTGTAATGAGATAATGGGAACAACAATTACCGTATTTCCTCTAATAAGCGCCGGTTCTCTAAAAAAACACGGGCCTCCAATAAGAGCTGGGGGTAAAGCAGCGGTTTAAGAAATAAGCACTGGGCCTCTAATAAGAGCTGCGTATGTTTCTTATAAATGTATTCTCCCATGATCCAAAAAAAAGATTTATTAAGGAATGGTATCTTTTGTCATAACTTCTTTTCCTCCACATGGCACAAGTTGATGGCTATCATGTAATTGTCACATTTTGAAGGTGTCTCTTAAGTTGGATTCCTACAGGTGCCACATATAAGTGCCCGGTCTCTAATAAGAGCTAGGCCTCTAATAAGAGCCAGGTCTGGAAGTCCGTTAAAAAACTAAGGGCGCTTGTTAGAGGAAATACAGTACCTGGAACCTAAGTCTAACTAGATGAAGATCTGGGTTAGAACTGATCTTCAGCAACCCATGCTTGTTGTAAGAGGTGACTATCAGGATCTGTTGGTCAGGCTGCAGACTTGTTTGACACATGTTATCGTATTCTAATTGTGTAGATTGATGCTTATGCTGTTGATCACTGGATTGTCTGGTCCGGACTTGATTATTCACAGACCGCTGCAATATTACTGAGTGCGGCTTTAAACAAACAAAAAATCTACCTTAGGTTTGACTTAAGATTACATTTCCCAATATTGATTTAAACTTTAGTTTATTGTCAATAATTTCAATGTTTATAACACAAATACTTCTGATGTGAAGTATCTTTCCCATAGACAGTAGATATGTTTGGGTTTGCTATCATTTTGAAGTTCAGAACTAAACAAACCTATTCAGTTGTCATTAACACTTGACACAAAGCTGACCCATTGGTTGGGGTAGGGCCAAACCCACTCTAAAGATAAGGTAATGTCTTTTGATTAGATGCAAAATTGAGGCCCCATATGGGAGGCTCATTTCACAAAACATTTTTGATGAATTTATTTTGTGTAGCAATATTTGAAAATATGTTTTAAATATGTAAGAGATATCTATAAAAGTCAAAATTTAATTTTTAAGATTTTTAAATTGATTTTTAACTTGTTATTGAAAAAGAAAGAAATTTCAGTTATAAAACCAAAGCCAGCAACCTGCCTCCCCCTTCAGAAGCCTTTCAGATCATCAGCTACACAGTTTAAATGTACATCAATGTTGTAGTGTCTTTTGACTGTAGTTAGGGTGTGTGTTATTTATGTTGGTTAATTTTCAAGTGAATGACATCCTTGTAAACCTAATTTACAATCTCTTTACTTTGTGGATAAACAAGAAATATATATAGTCCATACATTATGTCACTCTGTAGAAAAGGTTTGTTCAACTTACCTGTATGATATTGATCTTAATGTTACAAATAGGTAGTTTAAGACTTAATTTATTCTTCTATTTGGCACATGTTTGTTTATCTCTTATAGTTATTATCAATAAATTGTGTTGTAAGATTTTAAACTGTCACAGGGACAAGAGTGTGTTCAGGTTATGTTGGTGTGCAATGGGAATGCTTGTGTTGATAGTTAATAACAGTGATAAATGTAAACTGTGGGAGATAAATTAAGTTCATTGAACATGCACTGTTTGTGATGTTTCTGAGATAGCATGGATTTAACAACCCCAAACAAACCAATAAACATCAAACTGCATAAATATTATCATTCTAGATCAAAACTCAAACGACCATGATCTTGGATGTTACAAAACCCTTTAAGTCAACTTGGATAATAAGCAGACTTTGGTGCGACATTAGCCACGAGCCTGAAGACTCGGTCTTGTAAGACATGTTTTGTCTAGAAAGCTCTGAAATTTAAGTTTCTATATCATCATGAAAATTACACTTAAATCAACTGAAATTGATGCTAAGTGCCAAGTTCATGTTGGTAGGCCCCAACATTTTTAGCACAGACTGTTATATTGGCTGTTTTTAAAACTTTCTAAAGAATACTAGATCCAGGAATGGGATAAATGGGTACAGTGCCATAGGAAGCATTTACATGGTTCCAGGTATAGGTTTGAACCCAGATTTTTACCCCAAACTTTCTAGTATAAAGAAGTAGTTCTGAAGTACCAAAGACATCATGGAACAGTCAGCTTGTGTGAAGTAGCATCATATGGAAGCGTGGGACATGTTACTAATGTAAATCTTACTGCTTCATCTGAAACAGCACATCATTTGACCATGTAAATCAAAGAATTAATGTTAATAATTGTATTGTAATAATGACAAACATGATTAATATATACTGGTCATAAGAAGTTAGAGAATACCTCATTCTTTCATATTACTATTGTTAATGTGTCATGCTATAAATATGGCATGACAGATTTACCAAAGTTATATGAAAGAATCAGATGTTCTTTTATTCTTTTGAGTATTATATAGTCTGGGAGCAAGTGGCAAGAGGTGTGAGGAGGGATTGTGAAGTGTGTGTTCTGATAAGTGATCTGTCACTGTAATGTTTATACAACAATTACATCTCTAACTGTCTTTGTGCAGTGAGGCAGAGGATCAGCTGTGGAGGTGCTGTCTAATCTTCACACAGTTATTGTTTTGAAGAAAACGATCCTATTTTAAGTAGATGTGTGATTCTTGACATCGCACTGTTTAAGAATCTAAAACTGGTAATAGGTCAAATTTGAATTTTGTTTTGATTTACCTAAAACTCTGACCTAACTTCACAATGCATGAATTCTTCAAAATCAAAGCAGAGTGGGGGATTGAATTAGTACCAAAAAAGGTATCAGCATTTTTACTTTATGAAGAATGAGCAATCCTAATATAACAGAAGTTATGAAAAAAAGCTCATAGCCTCTCATGTTTTGATAAGTTACAAAAAGCATTGTCAGATGCATTACATGAAAAAGGGCAACTATGGAATGGAAAATTAATTAATAACTTTAAACTTGTGGAAGTGGGGCGAAAGGTATTCACCATATTTATGAAACCACAAGTACTAACATAGTGCTGTCAAGCTATGGATTGCCCCCATGGTGACAGGGATTTGAACCAACTTTCAGCTAACTCTGACTGTACACTTTAAGTTATGGTACTTTTGTTATTTATTCCAAGAAATAAAGGTTTTTTTCTTTAATTTCTGGAATAATAAAACACATTGAAATCCAAAAAGAGCCCAGGACAATTGTTAGTTTCAGGAGCTTAGAGCTGAGGTTACGCAGACTTGCCAAATAATTCTTGACTTCAGTAGCAATCCTTTAATGTATATTGTCCCCCAAAAGGTCTGGGAGACAGATTAAGACTAAAGCCTTCATTCCCCTTCCCCAAGCTCTGTCTTTTTTTAATGGCAAAATTGTAGGGGTGCTCAAAATATGAGTTGGACATACAAACTATAGCCAGGTGATAGCAGTGGTGGTAATATCAACGCTATGCACCTGTTTCTAATTTAATTAAATGCTCAACACTGTAATGTGGCTCTTTACAGCTATTCAATCTGATGGCCTATATAACAAAGGCATCTTAATCATCTGGGTATATGATCATAGTATGCGGTCTTTGTAATGTTTGTACATCTCTAGTAACAAGCTATATTGGATAAGTGGAAACATATAAACTGGTCTTGCCTTGTTGAAAAGGTTCCTGGTGTATATAACTTCCACAGATGGGCTCAGCAGCTTTAGAAATTTGGTTTTTGAGAGGCATATAGAAGTATTCAAGTATAAGACAAAATATAATGGATGTCAACTTCTTCTTTACAATAAAGAAGAAGTTGACATCCATAATATTTTGTCTTATATAGAGAAATTTGGTTTTTCAAAACTGGTTCGAAGGACTGGGGTAAAGATTATTTCACAAGTCCTCAGAGTCTTTAAGTCATTCAACTAAATGTTTACTGTGTTTACAGTTTCTGTCAAGTCTAATTTGGAGCAAAGTTGAAACCAGATGATCTAGTCAAATAAACCTACCATAATTGAATTTTTACTTGTCTTCTTTTACAGTCTTCTTTAGTAGTTTGATCCAGTGGACTAGTGTGAAGTTTGAAGGCGCTGTTGAGAAAGCATATATTTTCTTCAAAGAGTAAAATATGTCAGATATGATTAAGAACTT